GCATTATCTCGGTAACTTATATAATATGTATGTTTTGTCCTTCTATGGTGTATAATAATAAGCGGCGGATGAGACTTACATTGTACGTGACCATTCCACTGCACTTAATTGCGGCGTCCTCTGCAACTGATTCATCCGACTTCACACTTTTTTCGTCTTTATTGTCGGCATCAGTGGTCGGCGTGATGCACGGCATTAACCATTGTTCTTGTGCGACGGATACCTGCTAAAGACAGATCATTTCACCGGTAAAAACACCTCGAGAGACATTTAATTTGAATTAATTTGCTGGTTAATAGTATCCCCGTAGTACTTGATATTTTGTTGTCGCCTCTAGACAAACGCATTATAAAACATTTCCAAAAATCTGGACTAATTTTCCTATTATGAGCTGCTCAATTACATCTTTATTTGGAACATCCTCGCAGGCAGTTATCACCGCCTGACTCTACAACCAGCGTTACGGTAAGTCAGTGTATCATCAGAAAAGGTCATTCATAGATTGTGTCGACCAATCAAGAGGTTGAATACGATCAAGTGGCAATAAACTTTTAGCCAGCAGATCTAAATAGCCCTGAGGAGTCTTCTCAACGCTTAAAATGTCCGCATAATTCATTCAAGGTTGGCGTCAAAAGGCACATTGGTTAACACTGAAGGCAAACATACCAACTGCGTCCGTTTCGAAACAGGCTTTTCGATGCTTACATCGTCCGGATACAAAACCAGCTTGTTGTGACCTCTATTCAGTCTCATGGACCTTTGATGGTGGCTATAACGATAGGAAATATTCCATTAAGTATACTCTGTTTCATGTCAGACGTTTTGTGTTTAAGTCGCATTGGGATTGCCAACAATATTTTATACTTATCGGCCACAGATAAATAGTTTAGGATATGTTATGTTAGCCTCCTGGGTTTAATATACATTGCTAATTATTTTATGTACTTTAGAAGGTGCGCTTTGGTTAACTTGTTCATAGTTACATGAAGTAACTCTGCATATTAATTACAACATTCATGTACTGACATGTACGCACTTGTTTTATTTCTATGTTTCTTATGAAAATTAACTTTTATTTACTGAGACATTCATTTCGTTTATTTGGTAACCATCTATTATATGAAACACCAGAGAAAACGAAAACCCCAAGATTCGCTAATACGGAACCGGTGGTAACGGGGGGTTATGCGGCTGAGGCATTATGGAGGCACAGAAGAAAAAATAAAAGAAATATGGCAGACAAAAACAGAAAGCAGTAGATAAAATTATTATAAAAAGCTAATTTATAGCAAAGAAGAAGTGCGCGATTATTGAAAAATAAACTAAAACTATAATTATACAAAACATTTTATCAGATTAATCAAATTAAACTAATTAATGAGGTAATTAATTAAAAAATTAAATAAATTGCCATTGACACTGGTTCTTTATTTCAAAAGTCTGGGTTTTTCTCTTTCCGTATTGATCCAAATGATCAACTGATATCTTTTATGTCTATGATATAAAAGCCATCGCCGTTGCAAAATGTAGGCCAAACAGAATTTACTTGAAAGATATTTTATTCCCTCTTTATATTTAATTCCGTGGTGAGGCCGTTAAATAATAGAAGAGAATAGTAAACGAGGGCCTTTATCAATGTGATCGACAGAGAGAAGAGGTGGGTTACTAACCTGAAGAAGAGTCCAACCATGGTTGTAAAAGCTATACCACACGAAATCTGTACCGTCATCAATATAATCCAGGTCAGGGTATCAGCTTCATTAATAAAAGAGAAAAATATAAATATAAAAATATAACTAGGAAATTGACAAATCAGTCCATAATTTCTTTCACCTGCCAATGTTTTATTATCTCAAAATGTCCACATATTTGTGTCATTATGACGGCAGTGTCAACTCAGTCAGCGTGGCTGATCAGGACTTTTGACCGATTCCATAATAAGCATCCGTTTCCTTAACTCCTACTTGCTTTGATCTGCATTCAACCAAATACTGAATGAAGCAGCTGGCATTGACGTAAATATGTTCAATGCGTCATTGCTATCAAGTAGGAGCAAGATACTTCTACGTCAACAGGTTTCCCACTTACGAGGCATAATATGACTTAAGATTGAAGGACTAAACTCAAGATATTTAAGTCACACCCTAAAGCCTGCTCTTAAACTACCTTCTCTCCAAAAGACCGTATAAAGGCACACTTTATAAAATAGTAAATGAAGTAATATGCATTCTCATCATTTATTTTCGATGATCATTTAAATTCGAGCGTATTTTATAGATCATATGCATGAAAAATATCTTTTAATGTACTTGTTTAGGGGAACATTACGCTTTAGTCAAATGCTATACATGGAGAAAGGAAGAGGAAAACGAAGCGGGTTCGTGGACCAAATTATGTTTGAAGTGAATTTTCAAAAGGATATTCGTTTCTATCGTCAGAATACCGTGCTTACTCTTTCGTGATCCAATACAAGAAGGAGTGTACTTTTGAAACGCCATTTCAAATACAATTTGGTTTACGAACCCGTCCCCTCGTCTTCTTCTTCTTCTTTGGTAGACGATGAACGCGTTACCAAATCTGGACATCGTATCTTTAGGCACATAAATGAGGAAAGGAAACTTTTGGCTTTCTAGCTATAAGATTTGTTTATGCCTTAAAATGTGCAAGCATACCCAACTTCAAGAAGAAAAATGCATACTTGTTAATTATTCGTATTTTGCAGAGTTTGCTAATTCAAAAGCCGGCATCCTAAAGTGAAGCTAATATTTTGAGATAAGTGCGCGCGATAATAAACCTTAACATCCTATTAAAGTAATTCGTTTGAATAGAAAACACGTGTTGAAATTTGTTTTCCACGTAATCAAGTAAGGGATATACTGCAGCACTTTTCACGCCGTGTTGTTTCCCCTCTTATCGATCACTTCTGAGCACTGATACAAGCCTTCAGGTGTACACCGAACTGGAGGCCATTACTTAACAAGGTTGCTATACGTTCAAGCTTGAGACAACAATTTAGAATACTGTAGGGTAGGGCGGGCATTTCTTCCATCTAAATGATCTATACTGTCGTGCCGTTGGTAAAGCCTGAAAACAATTTACAAACCACCTTTTGACAAGCGTTGCAAAAGAAATTACGAAGATTAGCTTGCCGAACCCATGCGCGTGTTTGACTATTACGCTTCGCGAGAGCTAATCAAATGGCCTTGAGGTAATCTACAATAAGAAAGGGTTTTCCAGCACCGATCGCCTTCCACTTCATCGCACTTTTTCCCAATGGTACATAAAGTTGGTTTTGTGTCTGCTAAACTGGCTGTGAGGTGGATACCCTGGACCGAGAAGGGGCTCAGATCAGGGTACGACAGGCGTATATTGAGTCACGCTCTCATAAAAATTCTGGCGTACTGGCACGCATAGGGGTAGCTTTGGCCGCGTCAGCTACCTGCATCCGATTCCGCCTCTGGCCTTCTTGGCGTTGATTTGACACCGGACACAGATGACTGAGGGAGGAGTGAGTGTGTTCGATGCCTCAAATATCTACTTTCACTAATCCACGCGCACGTCACCACATTTGGCATCACCTTGCTAAATCACGCGGCAGAAATCGTCAAAAAAAACGTTTGAACTGTCGGACGCACGCTTTAGGTGAACAAAGTCACGTATTTGCCCACCATGCATACATTGATCTTTGCATGCGTCTCTAACTATCTAGCAGACAGACATTGCGGCTGGATTCACGGTCCGGACGCGAGTCCATAAAATGCATTGATTGGTATTAGTCTAATCCCCAGTGTATAGATAGCTACTTTTCAGGCGTTTGGAATGTACAGCAGTGGGGACGGAAGCACTAGATCGCCGAACTCTTCTTTCCCATTCACTTCATATACCGAAAGTAAGTTCACGTCAACCCGACCGGACGTGTAATTGCGTGCGATAGTTTTGTCATCAAAACAAGGGACTACGTGGGTGATCTAAATTCTGAATCCTATCAGAACGCAAAACAGGGTAGAAGAAAACGCGAATTAACAGTCCGCAACCCCACTGAAGGTACTAATCTCC